GTGTGTGAATGTATGTACGTCTATCGTATACAAGAGAACGTTTCCTAGAGCAAAGTTTCCAGGTCAGAAAAAGATCAATCGGCAGTAGATACCTTTCTTGACGCCGTGCAAGTTTTTTAATTCATCATTCACGTCACTGTATCCAACAAACGAACTTTCGTATTATCATTAATTTCTTCGAATAATAATTGCTGATTAGATTATACGATGGTCATTTGAGTTCGACTGATGGAGTCGTAGATAGTTTAGATTTTTTTTTTCAAAGCAACAGTCGGAAGCTATAGTCGAGTCCTATGGCGGGACATAAATTGTTGAACCATCATGGCTCCGTAATTGTGATTTGTTGCTCCGAAATAGTGACATCCGATGATATATCAAGATGTAATCTCCCAATCCCTAATTCTCATCAAGCGAGTCATTCTTTAATCGGTTAATAACAACCGTCGAACGCGGTTGATGTACGTCGACGATCGATCATTTGAGTCTGATCTTGGATCGATGTATCATATAATTATGACGACGGCTCCTGCGATTTCTAGCCAATCTATCCGTTAAACCTCTCACTAACCCGTTTTCTCTTCTATATGTTTCAGCAAAAGGTAAAATTTTGGTTCGCTACGGGCGGCGCCGGATTCTGCATCAGTCGAGCATTGGCATTGAAGATGACGCCGGTGGCTGGGTAAGTTTTCTTTTTCTTTCTTTCTTTTCTCACTTTATTTCTAATGTTTACATCCCATATAAAAAGCGAACTGTGTTCTGCTTTACTGTTTATTCCTTTGTACTAAAAAATTAAGATAATATGAACAATTTAACTACTTTAAAATTTAATTGAAATTTTATTATAGTAATAAAATTTTTGTTTTTATTATAATTGTATATAATTTTAATTATCCGATTTATCTATTGGATGTTTGATATTCTTTTATAATTACTGTGTGAGATAATTGATTACAGTTTCAAATTTATAATTTCTCTCTCTCTCTCTCTCTCAAATCTCTTTGAGAGAGCGGCAGGTGGTTTTTATCATTGAGTAGAAATCTCTATAGAATGTGATTAGTCACGCATGACACATGTGACACATGTTACCGCCGCACATCGTGGTAGTTCTTTCAGGATTTAATGTAACGTGAAAATGCATATTAACGATCACGTTCCTCCCGAATTCTGCTTCATCTCTTTTTTTCTATATACTATCCATTTATCTGTTTCTACCTGCGGAGGATTAAATAACGCCGGCGGCTTTGCCTAGTCACGCTTATTTCAATTGATCGATCGACCGATGTTATCTATAACGCTGATACAAATTTTACAGCTGATAATTGCATATAGAAGTTTTTTCTCTCATAAATATCTTACGCCTTGCAGAAAACTGCGCGCTAAAATTTCACTGTTAAAAATTTTATGAAATTTAATATACTTTTAAGTTATACAATTTGAATTAATTTAATTTTGTAACATTGCATGAAATTTAATGTATTTTTCATGAAAATTTATGAAATTTAATGTACTTTTCATAAAATTTTTGAATGAAAAGTACGTTGAATTTCTTAAATTTAAATAATTTAATTTTCAGTTAAATCATTCATTACTTTTAATTTTCACAATGAACTTCATTTATATGTAAAGGAAGCTCGTGGTTACATTTATAACAGTGTATTGAAGCGCAGTGATACAAATTAAAAATCGTTAATTGTTATCGTAAAAATCACAACGAATTATATCTATATCTCTCAATAATACACCTTTATAGGCACCTCGATATGCATTGATTGTTTATTAGTATGACGTTTAAGTACTTTATTCGTGATCATTATGATGATCATTGATCATCATGGGAGATCGAAAGCGTTTATGTTGCGTATTCGTAAATCGCCGTTTAATGGCGTACAGTGACCAATTGTTTATTCTCGGACCTTGATAGCGTCACGAGTGAACCTGTTTGTTACTGTATTAACTACATAAAAATAGAGGGTCATATAGTATGATCCAATTTTACACGGTGACTGCATTTTACGCTCATCATCGTAAATCCGAAGCTTAAATGTCGCAGCCTCCCATAAAATCTCTTCATTTGATCAGCGATTTGATCGGTTTATTCAGAACTCACACAGTTCTTGGCCTTTTCTTCTTCGTCTTTCTGTTCATCCTCATCCTTCTGTTCATCTTCGTCCTTAGCCTCCTTATACGGATTCGATGGCAGAACGAACGCGAGGATGAACGCGAACGTGTCTGGCAAAAAAGCCAGCCTGGGAGGGCTTGCGAATTAGTTGTACCTCCTTTTTTTCATTTTTTTTTCTCATTCTAACTTCGTCACGCTCTTCCGTCCATTCTGCGATATACACGATCCCGGCATTATCTTGCCTATACTCGTTCATTTCGCGCGGCGCGGCAATGCGAATAGCGGGGACAGGGAAAGGAAACGGGGCAAGTACATCGAACAGCTTTCTCATTCAGAGCCGACAGATGATTCTCTCGTCGACATTATTTTATTTCAACGGACGTAATCCGCAGCGATATTACACTTTATCTGCTCTCCCAATTTATCACGACTAAACGCCGATGACAGTTCTTAATTTATATTTATCGATACAATTTTACATTTTTTGTTATCGCTTTTGGGAATTATCTCTTTGACAATAATCTCACTTTTTTTGTTTCGAAAATATCCTCGCAAGAAGAGGTAAAATTTTGTTGCCAGTAGCGTGTGAATTATTTCATGAAATTTCCATGTTTTTCCTCTCTGGCTCGCGAGCGAAATGCTCACGCTGCTTGAATAAGTTTGCCGGTCATTTCAGGCGTCCTTCATCTTCATGTTTTACGTTTTACGTTACTTTTACATTATTTCAGACGCCATCAGGATGATACTGAGGCGACAGTAAGTACAACCGGTAATCTCACTTATCTTTCTCTCCAAGAACGGCACAATTACGTTCGTGCATTTTAATTTATTCTGCTCAAGATGCGCTAGGCTTTTTCGCATTTAAGAAAGTAACAGATATCACGTTGCCACTTTTCATTTTGCACGAGTGAACATTCTTTATCCGAGTAGTTCTGAAAAGAAAAATGCTTTCAGCTCTTTTTCGCATGCTTTTCTTTCAACCAACGGCTATTTAGGATTTTATTTCGCTGTTAACAGGCTAGAAAGAAAGAAAACCGCTCCTAACTTTTCTTTTTTATTATCGTTGAGAGCGCGCGATACAATCGTTTTCGTGTTTCATTTTTATCATCTCAGATCTTCTTTGAATTTTATTCCACGAGATCAAATTATTTGAGTTTTTTATGCACATTTGAAGTTTAGAGGTCATTTCAGCAGCGGTAGATAAATTTCTGCGATTGTCTGAAAATTATGTATTTCCATATAAAATTGATCGCTAATCCGAAAATGATAAAATTAAAATGAATAGAACATGGTCATGAAAAAAATTTTAGTCGCTAAAATGTCTCCTTTTTTTAACCTTTTATTTATGAATTTTAATGAAAAGGATGTTATGACTTTTAAAAAAATTGAAAAATTTAAGCAATTTTTTCTAAAAATGCATTTTGCATATGCTAGTGTTTTCATGTCATAGTACAGTATGTATTTTTCGGATTTTTTAAATTTATATATCTCACAAAAATATCAAAGCGTTAATAATCTTGTTAATTGTTATCATTATTATTACTTGTATATCAGCGCAATTGATTAAATAGTAAAGCAACGACAATGCGCGAAACAATCAGTACAGGGCATACAAAATATCTTCGCAGATTCTAAATTTACGATAGATGATGAAAAACTGCAAAGATATTTCTTATTCTAATCAATTTAACAGAATGTCAGTATACTTGGAGGTTCCGAAAGGAATCAATTCTATGTCAAGGCTTGTTAATACTGAACACTACAAAAATTTCTTTGTCGGTATTTTGCTATGCAATGGTCGACTATGAAAATTTATCTTTTGATGAATGAGATCGTATTACCACATTGCTCGATTATTTTGTTACCCATAAATTGTGGCTTTGTTTATATTGGATGAACTGTGTACGCATTTAGCGGATGTATACCTACGTTTACACATCCGGATTATATTGTGAATGTATGTCTAAATACTTGGTGCGTTTATACATTCCCTGCAATATAAACAGAATCACAAGGTATACAAAAACCACAACGATATTGTTCTACTATGAAAAAATTTGAGAAATTGATGCGATTTGTTTTAAATAAAAATGCATTTTGCATATGCTAGTGACTTTCCATGCCACGATATATTTGCAAGCTGTATATTTTTAAATCTATATATCTCGCAGAAACGTTGCAAAAGCGTTAACGAGAGACACATATGATACATATAATATCCAATTTGTATATTGATATTCAAAGTGCTATTAAACTGATAGCGATCCCGAGTTTTATAAGTGATCAAAATCGATGTAAAACATTTTATTAGAAAAAATTATACCTATTTATTTTAGAAAATGTATATAACAAATAATTAGAAAAAACAATTAGCTGATATTTTTAAAAGTCCTATCAAAAAGATAGATACATATTAAAAATTTAGAAATTGTGAATTGTAAAAATTGAAAAATTAGGAATTGTAGAATGTTACTGAAAGAGAAAATATCAGTAATCTTGAGCTTATTTAAAATACCAAAAGTAATATAAAAGAATACACAAAGTTTAATTTTAAGTTGAACTATGTGTGAATTCGCCGCAAGCGGGTAGAATTAAGCTTGTAATTGAGAGTATACGATAGTGATTTTCTGATTTAAGCTGGCATTGTAATTGGATTAGAATTTATGTAAGCGTCCTCAGCAAATTAATTGCAAGCGTTCGAAGCTTTTCTATCGTTTCGCTTAGGACCGATGGAGCACGTGCGAAGAATCTTCAAAATATTTATTAATTGTTAGGATTAGTTGAAAATCATTAAAATTTCTACTTTTTTCCGATTTTTGTATGATTTTCTTTGTGAACGTTAATGAAAAAAATGTAATAATTAAAAAATATTCAAAAATTTTGAGCGATATTTTTTTTTACTAAAATTGCATTTCTTAACCATTTTGCTTTGCTCGCTAATTTTATCATTTACAGATTCAGCGACCGTTTTAAACGAAAATACACTTTTAAGACAATTGCAAAATTTTATTTTGCATTATGATCGAAATAACCTTCTCTAAATTTCAAACATGCATAAATAACGCAAATAACTTGATTTCGGAACGATGCATTTCGCTGGATTTTTTATTTTTACAGATCAATTTTTTCATGAAAAATGCTGTTCCATGTTATATGTTGAATTATCAAACTGTGAAATACTATAGTGTACTATAAGTATTACAGTTTTTTTTCATATATTTTGCGATAATTTTATCTTTAGTCATTTGACCATTTGATTTCTATTTTTTCTATGGATCATTAGATACTTTTTGAAAAATGGATTACTCTATGCTTCCAAATATAGGATTGTTTTTTGTACGATCAATATGGTCAGTTGAGCAGGTTGTCCTTCAAATTATAAGTTCTCATGTTCATTATAAGATCCACTTGAAGTTCCAGTGGACGTTTCACTCACTGTTTCTAATCTACCACATATGTTCACATCCTATTAGCTCTATTACTATTATTTCTTTATAGAGTTGATACCGCAATAAATATAAATAAGTATAAGTATATATCTTAATTAAAAGACTGAGTTA